CCGCCGTCGACGCCGCCGTCCAGCTCCCTGACGACCCGCTGTACGCGTCGCCGAAACAAAGAACAACAAGTAGCTGTCACCGCCTCGTCCACGGACCTGTATCCTCGCACGGTAACGACGTATCGATCGACAATAATCCGACGCAAGATCCCTATTCTTGCTCAGTACAATTTTAGATTCATCATAGATTAATTATGCATAAGATCTCGTTTCTCGAACAATTATTCGTTACAAATATAGAACTGTCGTGAACATATTGAACTGAGAACTATAACATGTGACCGTTACAATTATAGAACTGTCGTGAACGTAATGGACTGTGAACAATAATGTATCACCATTCACGTTGTAATACATATACTATGATGACCTGCACGGATTTATTTGACGAATGATACTAAAAAGTACTAAAAATAATATTATGATAATAGATACTGTAAAGATAAAATAAAATAAAATTATTTTAGATTAATTTATAATTTTAAAGAGTTTATTTGATAAAATAATAATTTTAGAATAATTAAAATAAATTATTTTGGTGAAAGAATCATTTTAGAGTAATTATAATAAATTAATAGAATTTATTTGACAAAAGAATTATTTTAGAATAATTATAAATAATTTAAAAGAATTTACTTTAGAATAAGTATCAATTTAGAATAATTTTAATAATTTAAGAGAGTTTATTTTATGAAAGGAATTATTTTAGAACATTTATAATTAATTTTAAAGGATTTATTTTAGAAAAGGGATTATTATAAATTATTCATGATTTATGTTTCTTAATTTTAATTATGTGATATGCTATGATATTGTTGTATATGATTAGTTGCATTTATTACTCTTTGTCATGTTTGAGAACCGTTAGAAATTCATGACTAGTGTGGTCTGGTGTGTCCTGTTTAAGACTTAGAAACCTGTGTGTATGTTAACTTAGAAAAACAAGAGAGTTGGGATGGGAAAGTCTCTGTTTATGTGATCGGATCAGGCTGTTGATGTATCTTTCAGGCTCGCACCAGTGGTCGGTGTCACCACTGGGGTTGGTTTGTAGGGCTAAAGTAAAATGTGTACATCACTTTGGTCAGTGAGAATTTATTTCGTCACCCGAGTTTTGTTTGAAGTTCGGACCAGACAGAAAATGGATGGCGTGTAGTCCTCTAGGCCGCATGTGTAGCGGGATTGGATACACGTAGGGGATTTGTGAACAATCAGTTATCTGATAATATGAACGTTGACTCTGTGTGAGATATGTACCAGCGACCTGTTATATAATGGCTAGTAGTATGACCTCGTTACTTGGATGATTAGTATGACCTCGTTACCCAATCTATTTTGGATTCTTCTGATTATTATATTCTAGTGGTGGATTCATTTAGATTATTACTATTATTATTATTATTGTTATTGTTCTTACATTGGTCGTTCGACCATTTCTACTTTCCTTGTGGGATTTTGCCGTGTTCCATGCACGTTGACGTACACCTGTTTTCTCTGGTGTACGTCAGATTTAGAGGACGGACGGGTCCAGTATGATGATGCATTAGAGCAGGAGTATGCCCACCCGGAGTATCTTCCAGGTGGAATAGAAGAACAGACGGAAGCTTAGCCTTTTCTTTTACATAGTCGCTGATGGACACTAGATTACTTATGTAGTACCTTATCCTTTAGTCTTTCGAGGGACTTAGTTATTTTTACAGTACTTCCTTCTTATTTTGTTGGATTATGTATTTTCTTATTTTAGTTGGACTGTTTTGTAATAAGGGCATGTTTGACCCAAACTTTATGTCTCGGATGATATTCTATTTGTGATATGTCTCTTTTTTATTCTGAGTTGTTCATTATATTCTCGCTACTATGATCGGAGATCTGTGCCTTTGTATTTATTTCTTGACGCTTAGCGTATTAGATTGAGGAGAAATGTTTAATTTTATTTATTCTCCTTAACCTAATACGTCGCAAGCTTGCTCGCGTCTCGGTTCCTTGGTATTTT